ATTAGTTTACTACTTTACTTTCATGGACTAACTGTGATCTTGTGATTCTTCATTCGAACCAATGTGTAAACATCCTATGGGATTTGTAAAAGCGAAGTCTTTGTAAGTTATATCATTTTAATTTTAATTTGAGCTCTCTTACTACAGGCTTGATAATGCCCGAAACAATGATACCGCCGTCACGCTGTGAATTGGCTTAAAAGTATGAAAAATTTGGCAGCGCAACTGGCATCAATTAGTGCTTTTCACCCTCCCTATTGGGAATGTGGGTTGTTATCGGTTGGAGACGCAGAGACTTAAGCGAAAACATTAATCAGCGGGAAGAATGTTGTACGTCCTACCTATAGCATGGTTGTGCCCGGTGAAACGAATCACGGATACATAACAGGTTTAACAAATAAAAAGTGTCCCTTATTGAATATATGGTAGAGTTCAATGAAAAGCACCTCTAGACCCAAAACAACTCTTTGCGACTGACTACTTATGAGTTACAACAATGCGATCATATGTAACAGCAAGTGAAAGGAGTATAGAATTTAAGAAACAGTATGATGTCGCAAAACAAATTTTTCCGTTAAATCCAGTGCTGAGTGATCTAACTCGTGGTATAACTCGTCCAATTTTCAGCATGCTGTTTTTATCGATTATCGATTTAAATTTAAGATGGCTAAAATTGGGGAGCCTCGTTAACAAAAACTGTACATTATTTCTACCGCGATGGCAGGGATCTCAGGCAAGGAAAAAGGAAATCACAATTGACGGTCATCCACGTGCGAATGATTCAATTCGTTTTTGACCGGAAAATGTTTGAATTAGCCCATTCGATTTTCCACAAGGACCACGCATTGCTGACGAAACATTAACTGGATGATACACCTGTCCAACGACCTTTGACGGTCATCAGAACGATTTCCATCACATTTAACAACATTGAACTGGTGCGGAATTAACGATCTCCAAAAGAGTTAACCCCACAACCAAGATCATCAACAGTACCTGTTGCTTGTGAAAAACTGAATGGATAAATCGAAGCGTTCAAAGTCTTAAAATAAAAGTTATTAAACCAAAACTATCTCGGACAATTTCAACGCTTTGAAAGAAGTACCCTTATCCCAATAATGAAGTTTTCCAAAAACGGCATCAACGAAACGTGGAACCAACCGATTATCGAGCGTACTATCGCATGTTCATTGAAAATCCGCATAGAAATTTTCGGAGCAATTCCAACCATGCACTTTCTCTCCTGCTGGTAGGGGACCATACCGTGGGTACAAATGAGTATTAACTGAAACTGATTCATTCCGATTACCGAAAGAAACACTGATTCCCGTGACTGATTATTTTAATCACATGGAAAATAGGGTGATAAGTTGATGGCTTTCACTAATTGACCATGTACGAAACGTTTTCACACCCTCGTTGTACATTATTTCCCACGAGTCATTCCTAAATGTTTCCGCACTTTTATAATTCCTGTTTCTTAATTATGAGTACAACTAAGTAAAAGAAGGCATTTTGTGAAACACTGAGCACAAGGAAATTGACATTTCAGTGCATCTGGCGTACGGAAAGCAGGCATGTTAATTATTGATCGACCCGGATTATAAATATCATGCTCTCGTTTCGAATTACATCAAAGAATGAACAAATTCTAAATCGTTTCGAAATTAGAAAAACAAACCGAATCACTTATGTTTGATTGACCGCGCTTACTGTTCATCGCCCACCAGAAGTAGAGGTAATCGTGTGTTGAAAATCAGCTTTGTCCCGGCCACCGGGATTCGGCCACGCATCAATTCATGCGTGGCCAATGGGTGAGTCTGGCTCCAGAACAGATCGAATACCTGGACTTGTCCGGTCTGTGTGACCAGCGCGAATGTGGTCGAACTGTACGGGGCCCAGCACACATCACTGACCGGGACAAACAGTTCGATTGTCGTGAGCGCGTAACTGGTGATAGGTTGGATAGATTGGTAACTTTCAATAATTCATGAATTCCAAAGAAAACAATTTTTGTAATAACTATTCACAAATTAGAATAGAATTCTTTTTATCAAACAGAATTTCATTAGATAAATATGGTCACAAAATGCAACCTCTTGGGTCTAAAACTTTACACACACTATTTGAACTAAAAAGGTGTTAATTTCACACTAACTGTGTTCCTAAGGCGTTTTTCAATGGCCATGTAATTCTTTGATCAGTATTTTTGATTCCTATCCCTATTGTTCGTAATTCAAATGCCAGTTCGGACAGAAACTTGTAATTTTGTTGAATCCACAACTGTTCGTTAGTCGGCACAAAGAAAAATCAAACGTGTGTAAGAAGTAAATTGTGGGTTATCGGACGAAAACTTTAGTTTATCTCCTTATCTATAAATCATTGAGTGATAATTTAATCTTTTGAGTTGTTTTAAACTGTAAATCAATTCAAAATTGCTATAGTACTTCATAGATGTTTATGACGTCAACAAAAGCAATGTTTACTTCAGATAACCGTGATTATCCTATATGTTTACCCTATTCTGAGTCCAACCCTGACTTAAATATCTTAAATGGGACAAAAATGGGCAAAATATAGTTTATTTTGTTAGCTTCAGTGCATTGTGCGCTCATAACCACACTGGATGTCGGTCAATGATTAATCGCTTCTTCAGCAATTGCGGCATCCTGGAGAGGGGAGGGGCTGAGTGACATAAAACAATTCTCGCCAATTGATCCGCAGATTCCAGAAGAAGCAAGTGCATATCTGTGAAAGTCAATTAGTATTCTGATTATTCAAAATTAAATCACCATTTGATTGCTTTTCCCCTGCTATGTACTGATCACGTCGAAGGATCATTTAAATCTGACATTGTTTGGTGCGATGAACGCAACTGAAAGCACTGAACAGCCACGTTGTTCTCAGTGATATTGATCAGCCGTGCGTATTACGTTGGCACGTTACTTTAATATACAACAGAGCGCTGAGTAACAAGAATGTGTTTCTTGCAATCACACGATGCGCTGACGTGTAAACTGAGCATTTATATCCATGACGGAACGGTACGTCAAATTAGATAATTACGGTGCTAATTTTGCTACTCAATATGAAGTTAGTAGACAAATCGAATTTAAGAAATTCGAAACAGCTGCTTTGACATCTGAGACAGGAAAACCGGTTCGTTGACGAGAAAATTGAACCAGATGCAGAAAAAGTCTCATTAGTTGCTTTTTAAACGTGAGCTACTTGGGTATCCCTATTCTTGCATTTAAGCACTTTAGGTTAGCAGCGATCAGGCAGTGAAGGCTCACCAACGCTATCGCCTGACTATTCCACTCACTCATCAAGCTTTCAGCTGGCCCAAAGCTCATTTTTGAAAATCAATAGTACATCTTTTTCAAGAAAAGGAGGTATGTGGTTCAAAACACTGTGCGACAAGGTGTCCATTATGTTTTATTTGGGGTTATTCTTAGCGAGGTTCGTCCAACAGAATTCATCAATCTTAAACTGAAAGCCGTTGAAACACAAAACACTTGTGATAAAACAAAAAACTCGACGTGCTTGGCTCAACGATGAATCACACCAAGGTGGAGCACGAACTTACGGAGTTCCCGGGGTCCAAAATTTCACTGTCCGATCAAACGAACAGGAGATGAGGATATCTGGGACGATCGGGTTCCAGCGAACTTGTTGCACCGGTGAGTCATGAGATTTAGGCCAATGGTAATCGATTTGACCGGAATCTATTGTACTACAGACCACAATTCTCCCGGATCCGGTGCCCATGGCAATTTTCTCGTACAATCCACTGGAAGTTGGAAAACCAAATAGCACCTAACACAGTTGACAGCATGATCGGAGATGCGGTCGAGAGAGATCAGAATCGCACTAGCTAATTGCGTTTGGACTGTGAACAGCGAATAAACTACTCTGAATGACGATTTGAAAATGAGGATTTGGAGGAAGACGCCTGGCGGAACAAAGTCATGTAAAAAACCTTTTGCTGCAATTATTTTCAAATCATTGCAAAATAGGAGTAGCGAAACTATGGAGACTCCAAACGAGTCCGTAAAACTTAGTTAGGAAGACGCTAAAATACAACAATGAAAATACCCGAATCCGGTACCGTCGGCGAACAGACTACCTGCGATGGAGAGGAGCTTGTATGCATAAGCCTCGGTGCTTACACGTCACATTTTAAAAAAATAAGTGATACGTTTTATACCGAATTATCAAGTTTCTAGATTGACCAACTAGCTGGCGAACGGTTAGTGTCTCAATGTAAGCGGGTTAGGTGAAAACGGATGTCAGTTTCATATGATGAAAGAATAATCAAAGGGAGCTTTACTGCTAACTTCGTGGGTGGCAGAGAAATGTGTTCTATGTGCAGCTTGGACCAGTGGTATACAGGCATTGATCAAAATTGTTCCCATCCTGATTTTCATCAAATTTGTTCCAACCAACGCCTAATGTTTCGAGCCTCATTCACGGGATTGAATAGGATATTGCCTCACATCAACCATAACATACCTTTATCAATATCTACTTACGTTCTGGCTTCTACTAGCCAAACGCTAATAAAATGTACAATTTTTCGATTTCAGTGACATCTGCTACTCTATCAGGTTTGAAGTAGCAACGCTTGAGTGGAAATTGAAAAATAACAAGAATTGATTTTTGACAATGATCCATGAATATGTATGACACAGGTATTATATTATCATCTTTCCAATGTCACTTTTACCCATTGTTATTTTTGAGCACTCGCGGCGGTTGGTTTTGCACGGATTTCATCCAGTTGGCTGTCAAACAGCATTCACAAGTTTCCTGTAACACATGCCGTACCGTGACCACAGATGACCACTGTGAGGTGCCTTACTTATCCCAGTCTCTAACACAGAAAAATTACTGACTTCATCTAAATTCCAAATGTTGGGTAATAATTAAATGGATTGGACGTTAGACTTGACCCATTCAGAAAATGCGGTAATTTGAAAAAAAAAACAATATACAATGAGGTGTACACGTTTTCTACGATCGACCTTAAGCGAGATGCGATATTTAGCTTTATAACTTTGCGAATAAATTTCGAGAGTGACAGTTATCGAAAACCTGCCTCATCAAAGAAAAAAACTGCTTCGTGACACTGAAGGTCGCCCGAATTCGAACGGTCATACAGGAGGAATAAGAACATTGCAGCGGGAGATATAGTTCGGAATAGATGCTCTTCACCCAACCATCGCTATCGATTTACAGGCATGATATGTCCGAAATGAGAGGCCTTTCGAAAAAAGAACCTCAAAATACACTGCAGAGAAACTAAATCAAACAGCGGTATTTCTTTTATTTTTCGCGTACTGTATGAATCACATACGTTTTGTACGTTTTATTCATCACTATGCTTAAGTGATTTGGTGTCAGATATCAAGATCCACACAGCGATATTTGTTACGGTCTTTCAGGTTTCGGTTTACCACAAATTAAAAAATTTATTTACTGACCAGATTGTGTTAAGTGGATGCTCATTCCTCTAATAACTGACCTCGTAGCATCGGATAGTCGGTAGACTTGCCCTGTGTTGAGACAGTGTGTAATCCCAATCCGCTGTGTCTCTTTCAGTGATCTACAGACTGTCTCTTACTTTAGCTTTATGTGTGCAATAAATGGAACGACGTAAATTACACCGGGATTACTCACTCCGTAGTCAGATATCGAAATTCTTTGTGAACGACAGCAGAAATTATCGGTTTCTTCTGGAATGCTATGCAGTATGCGGACTCTGTTAGATCGGAAGGAGAGAATGAAAAACATCAACCTAATGAGACCATTATCACAACGACGTTATTTTTTCCTCAGAAGAATAATTTACCTCATTGTACTACTGTAGGGTTACAATTAAACAAAATAAATTAGTGAAGTGGTCATCGAAAGGTAATATACACGGTTATGATGAGGATCTGGCAAACTGTGAATTCAAGCCTCCTACAAAGTGACATGGCATTGCGCTAATTCTATTATTGACAATAATAAACGGTCACCGACTGCTCGATGTACACCTCATTGGCGAGGTCCTGCCACGACTAAGCAGTTAGTCTCCATCTAGTAAGCCTGAATTTATCATTCGGCCCATTTGCTGTTCTTCTACGCTTTGTGTCACATAGGTCAAATTCACTGAGTCATCCACCACAAAAACATAGTAATTCAAACAGAAAATGATTGAATCCAAAGAAGACGTGACACACAAGTTAACAGTTTATTGTTGTCTTACTTTCATTATAGGCTATTTGATGACCACCAGTAGATTTCAATGATTAAATCATTTGTCTGAACAAAACAGTTTGAAGTAAGCGAGGGGGGGGGGTAAAATATTTAATTGGGAAAGATATTTCACTTCTATAATCATTAGGTGCAAGGCACTATTTCTTTATTTATGAGGCCACTGTTCTTTGACCGTTTTGTAGGGTAATTTAGCATTACATTCTGTGGAACATAGAAATAAAGTTATCTTGCCCATTCAGCTCCGACAACTGTGGAGTATTAGTTTCAAATTTTTACTACACAGGGGTCCTAGGATGGTCTGGGATTCCTTAATCTGCCTAGCACGCTTTCAGATTCGGGCAACTGGCCGGTTTTGGCGAGCTCAGCCACCTTCGTGAGATGTACCATAAAGGGTTGTTTGGTTACGGAGGATTATTGATCGAGTTTACGGGGAAACTAATTCTCCATATGAATCAAAGAGCTGTATTCAACTTAGAAATGAACCAACCTATTTTAATAACCCGTACATAATCAGCTGAGTAACTCACCTCGAGTTACATCATCGTGAAACAAGGCAGTGCAAAGACAACTGGAGATTGCATCATTAGTCGAAGCAGTTGGGAACTTGGATGATCGCTTCGTTCCATTAGTAGTAGTAGTAGTGGTGGTGGTAGTAGTAGTATTAGCAGTTCGTAGCTGAACAATTTCACGTGGAAGTAGAGAGTTCTGTAGAAGGAAATTCGGGCAATCATGCTTTGAGTTAATTTAGTATTTCAAAGAAAAACTCATCGTGTGAAGTAAACAATATCCGACAAGGTAAAACTATGAAAAACTACAATCAGTAAATAAAATTACACCCTGGTCTATGTATTTTGTTCGTTGCAGTCGATGGCATAACACAGTATTTGATCGATTTCAATCTCTCAGTTGCTGGTTGCTGTCTGATGAGATTCCCCGAAAAAAAGAAACGTTAACGCGTCCTCTATCGGTACAAAATGGAAAACTTATTCACATAACAATTTGTCTCTCCAAACCAAAGACAAGGGAACAGACAATCACTGGGTCTCACTCAGTTTCTGCGTTGAAAATTGGTGCTGAATACAGGTCCCATCGAAATTCCTTGTTGATATGCTTCATTTTGGATAATTTTATGCACTTCGATGGATTTACTAGACGAGAACGGTAAAAATTATAAAACCAAATTAATAATTTAAAAAAAGATTATTGATAAATTTGTAAGATAGTTGACTTTCACTCAGACCTCTTTGGATTACGCGCTACTTACCTTTTGCACCGACCAGCACAATAGACGTCCGTCACCGGCGATAGAGACAACATCCATCTCGTTTGAATCGCTTCGAATCAACCATTCCACATTCCAACACGGACCGAAATGTGGTTGGTTGAACAAGCGAGAGACTTTCTCCCCAGATTTGAACGAATAGGTTGGTGGGGTGAATTGCCACAGGTCGTGAGTCTCCGTGTCTAAATACTCATCAGTTTTGTAGAAAATTCGTTGATTGTCAAAACTGTTCGGATCGACACCATCGTTCTTTTTGCCGACGGTTGAAAAAGGTAATGGAGAAACTGTTTAGGTGTTCACGTCACTGAAAGGCCTGATTTGATGTTCAAACTGACACGAAAACTGAAAGCGGTTGAATTCGCTATTCGTCAAACCTTGAGTTTATCCGTTCAGATTTCAACGCAACTGTCCAATTCCTTACTACTTGTAACATTTTTTTATTTTGACATCCATTATTGAATATGTAAAGATACGATTTTCGGGAAGGGGGAGAGGCCAATAAAAGGTCTGCCATATAACACACGATAGGGAAAGTCAGCCGTGGTGGTGGGATTCGAACATAAGTCCTCCGGGGTCATATTTTGGTAATGTTACCATCTAATCACCAACGTCCAGAAAGGAGTATTCCGAAGACCTAATAACGGATAAAAACTACTCCCCGAGTGAGCTCGATTAGGGATCGTCGCAGGTTTCAACCCGCCAGAGTTCAAGGACGAGCCTTGACCTGAGGCTCCGGCGTCCGTGATCTCCCTTAGTCCCGGCACCATTATGTTCAATATTATAAATCTAACTTGAACAAATGAGTCGGTGCACCAAGAACGAAACATCTGTGAAGTGTCGCTAGCTATCACTCCAATCTTGTCGTCAGAGCATTCCCAAATCTCACTCTGCTACAAACCTCGATTACACTCTCATCGATGACCTCTCTTGATCTTTTCAAGTTTAAATCATTTTCATAAAAATGCACAGACTATCTTTTCACGCATACCAGCTGCGAAAAGTAGCCATTCCATCAAACGTTATTCCTATATTTGTCATTATTTAGTCTGCCACATTTCTTTCTGGTCTTAAATAGAGGATTTTACCGTACTTCCAGTTCCATTGACCTTCGGGACTAAAGTGGAGGCGTCAATAGAACTGTGGCATGTGGCATAGATAAGATAACTCGTGATCAATCGCACAGTCTGCATCGGAAAGTCACGAAAGCTGTGGAGAACCCCAGAACAAGCTTCAAATGTCAACTTCGCTGGGTGTGCATCCACATACTCATTCACACACAGAAACAGTAACATATTTAGTTTTCCCATGGTTCAGTTTTTCGCAAGATAATTATCAAGTGGTTTAAAGAAAGACTCTTGCATGATATCTTTGCCAAACTATTCATTTCTGTTTTTTAATATATTTTTCTCATGAATTCGCAAACTTGGAAGCGCAAGATTTTGAATTTACTCCTCGTAGTTATTTGACCACCTTGGTAGAATAATATTCTCCCCTCACCACAGGAGAGGTCTTCTGTGTCTTTGCGTAGCTCATGCTGCTAAATTCCGTTCTGCTATCTTTGCTAGTACAAACAGTATTTTTTCACAGTGCATCACGTGCTCAGCATAAGTCAAAATGATTGTCTAGTCATGAGAATGTCTCTCGACTTTTCAGTACAAAATGTATGCACCGGAAAATCTTATCTCCGTTTCTAGAAGCTTCTACGTGACAAAAATTAGGTAAATTGAGTGCGAAGGGGGTCCCTTGGAAACTTCTTGGTGTATATCTTATTATAAAAGATGAACAATAATTTATCTTTCAGTGTGAACAATGTGCAAGGTTGCTTTATAGGGATGTACTGAAACAAATCCATTTCCAAACTTAAACTCCACTAGATTGTGAAATCGGATGCTTTTCCCCGGAGATGAAAGTGTCTCAGCTCACCTGATAGTCACGCATTTTCGGGTTTTTAACCTCTATCACAAGACTAGATAGTTGTGCCTTTTCCTTCAGAATGGTCAATACCAGCATGTTGTACACTCAACGGATCTGGGTATCATAAACCTGGGGCGCATCGTTAGCAGTCCCGATCCGCGGCTATTGGCACGTGCGTAGAAAATTATCTTGTCAAGAATATGGAAACACAAGATTTTTTCTATCACGGAAGTAGTTATTGTTTCCTTTGAAATGGTCTTCCCCAGCAGCTCAATCAAATTGTTGACGCTTGTAGCATCGCTTTGCACAAAGGGTAATGAGATCTACCGCGCACAGAATCAAACAATATTTAATGCTGATGCTATATAAATGAAAATGGCCAGTCGATGAATTTATCAAAAAACAGCTTGTTCAGCTTATCGGATTTTATTTTCAATGTCACAATGAATGTTTTCTATAGATTGTTCCATTATTCCTGTTCCTATGATTTGTTTGATTCGCAATCTAGACCCTGGCAAGTGAGATTTTTATCAAGTTGACCAATATAGATAGATGAGATCAAATCAGCATGCAACATGTAGAATATTCTTTTTTCAATTCAAGCCACCCCTGAACTAATATTTGTGATGTCTTTTTATGAAATGGGCAGTAAACTGCTGTCGGTAAATCTTAAATTGGTATGACGACACGACATGTAGAAAGGGGATACTTATCCTTAACGTTTGCATTCGCTTGGATTACCAATGTGCGTTTTGTCGATACTCCTAAATTAATCTGCCAGAAATGATCCCTTTCACAATTACCTGACCAATGGTACTAATGGTTTAGCTCGCAGCTTCTAGAGGCCCGCTTCTACGCATTTATCGGGAATTGCTGAAGCAGAAAATCGGTTGAGGATAGTACTCACGACTATCAATCATGTCTTATCGATCATTTGCATTAGGCAAACACGAAAATTAGTTGTATGAGCGCTGTAGCTACCTGTATCGATTGATTTTGCTGACGAGGAACACATCTTGGCTGTAGTGACAATGTCTTGTGAAATATATTGAGCTGTCACGTGATATGTGAGACCGAATCCATCCAAGCGTGACATGTGAGCACATCCCTGCATCACCGTTCTTATGAATGATGTGATTAGTCAAGTACCTTCGTTAGCTCGAATGCAACACAGAAGACTGAACAGTGACCGCAGAAATTTCTACTGTATGAAAGCATTATGCGAGCTGTGTAGTCTTGCAGTGGTTCTATGTCTACCCTAAAACGGACGGTAACTCTTTGTGATGTTTTGTGAATGACATATGGAACCTTTGCAGTCATTGAGGATAACAGCTATAGGGCAAAAACATTCCTCCAACCGTTTGGGAGTAAAATCGACGCCACATCCATCGAGGTTTATAAAAACAGTTGCAATCGCTGAAACTTTGCGGTTCGGCAATAACACGCTACATTTTACATAACATGTTTACTTGTGTATTTATGGATTTCGTCAACTCTTAAATTGATGCTAGTAACGAATTTCTCGATATAGTCTTTGGAGGCCCTGTTTTGTATTCTTTCTTCAAAGCATCTATTTGGCTCTGAACAGTTAGACGCCTTTAATCTTCTGCGCACAATTTTCCATATATTTCCGGTCGGGATTAAGATCCAGTGAGCTGGCTGCTCAGTCACCCGAGGGGGGTGGGTGGGGCAGGGGCAGGGAAAGACGATGCTTCAGTGTACTGTATAATCCAGTACAAAGCGAGAGTGATGTGATCCGGTGTTATAATTGTGCACGGCTTATAGGTGTTACTCAAATGAGTGGGACATGACGTTCAACTTAGAAATGTTTCATTTGGCAATATCATACTTGCATATTGATAGCCATCGACAGAAAGCATTTATTACGAACTTTATTTTCCACCGCAATTCTCCTAACTCTTTTGTATCGCTTTGTGAATTGGCGAGAATTTGAGTGTTACAATAAAATTCGTAGTAGTTAGAATGATACAACTCAGAATTGGGGAAATTTTTTGTACTGAGCAGCAGGGAAGTTCATTTTCTTCAATAAATTTGTTTTGTTTCATGAGGATGTTTATTGTGGCCAATAAACGTACTCTAAATATCACAGCTAGTTTCATACGGTGAACCCCATATTAAAACCCTGGATCATGTGCTCGAAAATAAATCAGGGTACACACAGTGTTGGGAATATAGAACTAGGATATCTATGTCATGCATGTAAGTCATTTTTGTGAATAAATTCTTATCCGTTTTGTTACTGAGGTATGTTACTTTACAATAGGGTCATCGCCAACCGTCATGAAAAACGATAAATCATACTTTTTTTGAGACAGTTAACTAAAAGAAGCAACTCGATTAATGTGTAAATGTTACGCATGTTATGGAATAGTACCATGCATGCTCCTGTCAAGGAAGCTCAACATATCAGGCAACGAGATGAGGGGATTTGTGGAAAGTCATGGTATCGTACTAGTTCGATCATACCTATATATTCTATTGTTGAAATATGTAGATAGCTGTTCAGACCCGCGCACTGGCTGACCACATCAACACACCCGGTCAACAGAAGCCGATCGATACTGTCAGGTCTCTTTCATTGTTGGCTGCTATAGTAATCTTCTTTAGGGTGGTGGTTCTTCTCAAACCGGCCACCCCAGAATGGCCCAGTCATCCCACCGCATCAAGTGCCTTTTTCCTCTGTCATTCAAATTCCATATCCCCATACTCCCCTGTACTGCGAAGCTCGACCGGTGCCAGTCATGTCTGGGGGCATTTTGACAGAGTTCTACACAACCGGAAGTTTGAGTGACGCCATTCTCAATGTTGATCACCTAGTTACCCCTAGAAGTGGCCTTAGTAACTTATATGACTGTATCTAACGTCATTTGCTACACCTCACAACACTAAAACGAATTTTAGCAAGAAGCCATGCAGAAATTTTTCTCGATATGTGTTCCAACAAACAACCATGTTTGACTGTTCCAAATGAGTCGGCAAAATCCCTATTATTCATTAAGTTATCTACTTAGAACTTGCGTTATCACAGGCGATGGTGATACTGATGATGGTGAGAGTGGTGATGCAAGTGCCGGTTATCAGGATGCAGTACTGAATAGGTCGCACTAAATCCGAAGTGAAAAAGCTCACTGATTGGAATCATACTGCTTCTTCGCTATCGTTGAGTGATATCCGAATAAGTTCATCGGATGTGATATAAAAAACCTATTTAGATTGAGTGAAACAAACCTCTTTCGTGTTGCAAACATAGACTTTAACGGATCCATCAAACAATCCGGCGCAGATTTTGAACGCGTGTCGTGGATGAATATCCAGGGATAGCACTGCACTTGATGTGGTCACCATC